TCCCCCTCGCACTCCTGCCGTGCCCTGCTGAGAACAGCCCGGCTCCCGGACAGCCCCTCACAGGCACCGCGGCTGCTGTCAGGTGCCCCCAGGCCCCACCTTGTCCGGGCTGAGCCAGCCCCGCTGCTCCAGCCTTCATGCCCAGGATGAATGCACTATGCCCAACCAATTTGGTGGCCTTCTGCTGAACTCATCCCAATTTATTGATGTCTGTCTTGCACTTGTAGGCCCCAAACTGGTCGCAGTGTTCTATATGTAGTCTAATACATTATGTATTTACCATGTCAGTAGCACTCTAGGGGAAGAAATGATCTCTGTTATTAGTGGTGTTGACAGGACTGTAATTACTTACTTTTATCTATTAGGGGGGAAAATAGCTACCAAAACTGGCATAATTTAATTACATTTCTTTTTAAATGCACCTTGTAATCTATTTCAGAGAAACCAGGAAACTTGTGAAAACCTAATCAAATACTTAATTTCTTCAGTCATTTTGATACATCAGTTGACAGCCAAATGCACTGAAAGACGTCACCAATATTTACTTCTTTGTACTGAAAACTTCTTTTCACTCATAGCATAAGGGAACAGTTTCTAGCTGTACACAAATGGAGTTAGTAAATATATTGTATGGGCTACCTGAAAGACTAAAACAAAAAATTTGCATAAATTTGCATTTAGTTATAAATTTGCAAAGAACAATTTTACAGACGCCTAATGAAACATCCAATATATTCAACAGAAACAACTGAAAAAAATAGATTTTTCAGGCAATTCTCAATTTTATTCATATGGAAGGCCTGATAATTTAAGTTGATGATGCAAAAAGTTGACGTAAGATGTTAGTATCAAAAAGAAAATATCAAAGATATATGGAAACTATTATAAAAAAAAGAATGTTTTTTTCCTTAACCAAAAAGTTAATAACCACTCATGGCATTTAGAAGACAACACATGTCTACTACTGGTAATGGTCATAAAAATGGCTACTTTAATGTGGTCTGGCTAAAGATGTTATAGAATCAGAGTTTAAGCCAATCAACACAGTATTCGGCTTGATAATTTCTTAGAGAGGAGATGGTGCAAGAGATGTGGTTTAGAAGTAGAAAGATTTGTGGTTTCAAGTACAATCATGCTCCATTCCAAGACCAATGATGTTTTTAAGCTTCTGCACAGGTTTATCTGGCTTTCTCGACTGCTTCCCAACTTTTAAGCCATGTGGGATTCTCCTCAGAATATAGAAAGACTAGCTATTACCATATGTATAGCCACCAAAAACAAAACATAAAAACCATAAAGGTCTTCATAATACAGTATTTACCTCGGAATTTTGGTTATCAAGAATTTACTAAGCAAGTATTTTTCACATGCTATGAAATTTAGGGCTTTTTTCTTTTCTAGTTTCTGATTGGGCATTATACAGACTTTTAGAAAGACTAATAAATGATTCATGTCTCCTTATACAAGTGGAAAATTTCCTGGCTAGTCTTATCTAATCTGAGCTTTTACTATGAAGTGGTTCTTTTCCATATCTCAATAAAAATACAGCATAACAGTGCAAATGCCATCATTTGCTACTGCAGATTATAGATTTAGATTTTATTTTCTTTTTAAAAATGCACCTGGCTCCAAAACAGCAACTGCAGTCGTCACCTCCAGATTTTAGGGGAATATTTCTAATTTTGCTCTTTTTGGCAGAGCTGGTGATGTCAAGGAAGAAATTCCAGCTGTAACTTTCTTTAGCCTAATAGACCCATAATTCAGAAGCTATTCACTTTAAAGTCAAAAGACTCTTTCTGTTGTAGAAGAATACTTTTTCATGTGTGGAGGATAGCTGCAACTGCATTGGTAAGTGCATGAGAGACTAAATTCCAGCCTATATCCTGGACAAGGAAAGGAATTTAATTCAATTTCCTCTTAACATTCTTGAAAACTTTGGTAAGATCTAGAACTTGACCTTTCTTTTAAAGTACAAGAATAATTCATACATATTTTTGACTGAAGAGCCAAGAAATGACATCTCATTAAGTTCCTGCTTACTTCAGTCTTATTCAGCAGAGAACTTCACAGAACAAGCTGTGGAAGTCTTGCAGGACAGAACAAAAGAGAGTAAAAGAGCAAGTCTTTACAGATTATTCATTTCTGTTTTAAAATAAAACAAAAAAATAATCAGTGATTTAAAAAAAAAAAAAAAGAAAAAGACCTTTCTGAGGTAATGTCTTTGTAATAGGTTACTGATATGAAATACTGAGATTCTAAAGCTCTAAGACAACAGGCTGAACTCCATATGAAACCACTTTTATATTATGCTTTTTAGCTTGGGTACGTTACAAGGGACATACATATGCCAGGAGTAAGAGCACAGCTCAGTAAGGATTGATAAGCTTTCTCATAATTATTTGATTCTCAAAGGTCTACTCAGCAGCAGTAGGCAGAGAGAAAGAGTTATTTTCAGCCTCTCTAAACACAGTCATTGTAAGTTTCTACTGAAATATACTGATGACTTATCAGGAAACAACTCTTCAATTTTGTTTTTGAGGTATGGCACAAAAACAGGAAGTGTGATGGTTTTTGTTTACTACTTGGAACTCATCTTTACAATTGTTTTATTTAGAGATTTACTTCTATCCTTGATCCACAGAAAAAGTGCAAGAATATTTAAAATTATGCTTTGAAGTATCAGATTGTACAATGTGTTTATTTCAGAAAAGTAATAAAATGTTCCTTGTCTTCAGAATTATAATGGGATTAAAATATTATACCTTACGTATTAAGTCTGGGTTTTTACTAGAAAGTATGTGGAAGCATGCCTTTTTTAAAAAAGAAGGAAGCTGGTCTTTAGATGAACTCCAAATCAGGGTTGTAGGGAAGAGGGATATTTAGACATACACATTTCATTAATGTCCCCAGCTGGCTTATGTAGTCCTTCAGTTTTGAGTCCTAGCTGTCAGTCTTAGTCCTAGTTGCTGAAGGCTCCCTGTTTGTGGTGTATCTCAGCTATGATGAGTCAGCTCAGGTACGTTAATTCTACTTCTAAGCCTAGTCTGAGTATCCATCGTGGGTGAGCATCACTATGTCTCTCTTCCTTCATAGATGTAGCCCAAAGTAGTTTTTACACATCTGTTTGTAAGCAATTTGTTTAATTTTGTAGAACGTGCTACTTAGAGGTATTGCTACTATTGATTCTTACTAGAACTCTTGTCTGTTGTCCTTCGATAGAAAACAAGTACTGAAAGAAAGATGAATGTAAAAGTTTCTTCTAGCATTGACAAGCAAAGGGGTATAGCTGATAAGTCGGTAACAGAACTATAAGCAAAGAAGATACTGGAGAAACGAACATCAAGTTATGAACTTTGTTCCCAAAGAGTTTTAAATAAATGGCTAACATTAATGAAGTGGCTAACAACATTAATGTGTGTTCCTGTATGGAGGAATCTAGATATCATCTGTCCCGATGTGTGTAGGACATTTAGCATTCTTAAATTTTCTTTTGGTCTTTTTTAGGTCCATAATATATTGGCTGAAATGGTCATGGGTGGAATGGTTTTGGAGACCAACATGAATGAAATTGTCACTCAGATTGATGCTCAAAATAAACTGGAGAAATCTGAGGTAAGAGTGATGCACTATGTAGTTTCTAAACTAAAAACATGGTTGTAGTAAATGCATGCTATATAATGATATTTGTCCTTCAGTAGCAAACTATATACAGCTGCGTGCTTATAATACTGAAAATGGACAATCATTAGGTTAAGATGTTGTACCTTTCATGATAAGTAATAATTGCTTAGAATCACTGCTGATTAGTTTTTGCTATTTGTATCTAATAGCATTGTGTACCATTGCTATTGAGATACTTCTGTAGTACTCTAAGTTTCTCTTGCAGAAAGTGTTTTATTTCCAGTGTGTTTATTATGCTGGACTAGTGATAATCACACTTAAATGAAATTAGATCAAGAACCAAAGTGTGTATACAAAGACTACATATTCCTGTCTGCTAGTATGTTTCTAGCACCTGAAATAACTGGCAGCATATTTAGTGTCACAATAATACTGCAGCACAAAATAATAAATCGGACTGAGAGGGACTAGATAGAATTTAAAGCCCAGTTTTAGACCCTTTAAAGTAAATACGAATTCTGCCGTTTGGGTAATCTGAACATTTGGTCTTCAGCTGAGTAGATTAAATAGGAAACTGATATTCTGTGTATGTCCATAACAGTCTGAGCAAGAGATACTCACATAAATTATAGGAATCCCTTTCCAATTCAACAATTGTTGAACTTGTGTTTAGAAAGAAACTTAGACTAAGAAAGGATTTTAGAATTACTTTAACTGTGAAACAGAGTATTAGTGTTCCTTTAACATCACCAGACATGCCTTGTAAGCCAAAATACTACTAGTACATGTTAGCTAAGTCTGTGATTGATTCTTACTGATGAGAGTAATTCCACAGAAGAACACATCATCTGATTTTCGAAACATAATATTCAAATTTCTAAACAAACCTTTGCTTGAATTGGAGACTGTTTCTAAAGTTGAAGTCAGATGAGTAGATTGAAATATTGCAGGTGGCATAAATATGAACTAAATGACATTTTAAGAGAAGATCCAGGGAACTTTGTTGCACTTATGTTAAAACTAGAAAGAGAGAAATGAATTCTTCAGATTTTTGTGGTACAATGTATACTGTTCTCCTAATTCCGCAATCTCACATGGCACCGCTTCAATTCTTTTTAATATATTTGTCTGTTTTGCACGACTTCCAAACTGTATCCAAGAACAGGACAACATAGTGTGAAAACCAGGAAAAAGCTAGCTATGATATGATACAGTGCATAGCAATATACATTCAGAAGGATTGTATTGTAGAGTATAAAGATGTCCAAAATGTTCGTTTTAACATTTTTGTCAAACTCTGAATGAGCCATTGATCATGGAGATTATTATTTGTAATTATTGTCATATATTTTTACTCTATTTGAATAACTTCTGTATACATATATATTTCTTCATTTGATGGAAAAGTAACATAGTGTCCCAAAAGCTGAACTTACTGAGCAGCTGTTTTCTACCATATAATATGTGCATATCAATTTTACCTAAAAGCATTTAATTAAGGTATTCATTCTTAATTATATGAATTCTGTTACTAAATCAACTCTAGACCAGTCTCTGTCATCTGAAACACACCGATTCAGTGCAGTCAGCTGCAATACTTGCTGTTTTCCATTATTTATCAGTAAGTCATTCTTTCTTGTAAGACGCTTTTGGTATAAAAATAGGTGGTAGAAGATAGAAAAAACATGTAGAACTCAGGGCATATACAAGGCAAATAACAGCTTTCTCCTTTACATTCAGCAATGAATTATAGAAGGTGAAGAAGTAGCAGTGATGAATTAAAACATTTGGTGACTGGGATGGAGTAGAACATTTCACAGTCTGCTCACCACAAATGCATTTTTTTTGTTAGTTCAGTGACTGTTTTTTTTCAAATTTAACAGTTACTGTAATGCTGACATACTTCACAATACCTGGAAACTCTTTCTTCAGATCATTAATCATTTGTATCATGTATATCCACAGAAATTTCCAGATTGATATTTCTTTTCCTTTTGTCTTTTTGATCAAGATTGTAAATCTTTTAACATGTCTTTCCTGAACCTGTGTTTTCAAGATACAACCAAATCCAGTTCATGTAAATGAAAATCAGTAGTAACTTAATAATATTTTTGAATGCTGGTCACTAAGAAATCAAAACTAGTGAATCTTACTAGTGTTCTTTAATTAAAAAAAAAATTTAAAATTTAGAAATTATTGATATAGTCTGTAGTTCATAGGACTGCCACCTATGCCACAGTATTCTTGCTTTAGTCTGTTTAGCTTGTTAGACCTCTGTGCTAGTTCTTGCATGCATAAAAATAGCTGCTTTAAGGTTAAATTGCCTTTTCTTTTATAGCTGAAATGTTGAAGCTAAAAAAGTTGTAACTGAGCTACATTTTCAGAAGTATTTTAAATTTTGCATTGTGCCCACCTGACCTCCCTTAATATACAAAATTTAACCATTTGACATCAGGTATTTGTTTAGTTACATATTAGGTTTCTAAACGAGCTTTTAGTCAGAATTTAATGAATATCAAATGTATTTATTAAATTCACAAATACTTGAGCAAAGTTATCAACTCAAAGAATTTTTAACTTTTTCAACAGAGATTAATTATTTAAACCACTATGAGGGAGTCCTTAGCTTTGATTTCTGATTCAGCTCTTACATTGCTTGAATGGGCTACAAAGGAAATTCTGTATCTACCCTGAGAAATGTTGTCTTAAATGCATTTCCCTGCCTTTCAGATTAGTGTTTATCTGTGAATGGATTTCTGGTCAATCCTCCTAAAGCCAAAGGATCATTGTGATTAAGGGAGGGGTTTTTTGGGAGAGGGGTCATTGGGGTTTTATCCAGAGCCTCTGGAAGTATTGTAGGTAAACCTGGGCTACCTCTTCTCTATTTGGAGTGTTCAACTGCGTGTGATTTAGACTTTTAAGTTGGACCTCATTTTTTTCCGAACCTCCTGATCTTTTCTAGCTCTTTCCATTCTTCTCTCTTACAGACCTTTATCTTTCAGTCTCCCAGACAGGACAGGTAGACAAAGGTATTGCTGACTTTTAGAAAAAATGTATTTTTAACAAAAAGGGAAAGCAAAATGATGTCAAAGGCAATAAATTATGTAGGCCAGACTCAAAAATTATGTGTAAAAATACCCATACTAGTCCTTGTAGCCTACTTTTTGTGCTAGTTCCTTCTTGTAGTTCCCTCATCTTTTTATTGGCTATAGTGTATTTTACTAGCTTTCCATTGACATCATATTTTTTATTTTATTTCTCTTCCTGCATTTTAGAATTTAACTTTTCTTTGTATCATTGTTTAAGAAGCAAAGGAATATGAACTTGTAGGAATATTTAAAAAAAAAAAAAAAAAAACAAACAAAAAAAAAAACCTGCAAAACTAATCTGAATAAAAATTGAACACACAGATAACAAAATATGATGTAATTATGTAACAGAAATAGCTTCCTTATTGAGATAATTTTGTACTTGATAATCTAAAATAGGTAATATGAACTCTTTTGCTTCACCATTTAGTATTTCCAAATTAAAACAAAGAACTTTCACCTGCTTGCAAAGAGAAGTTTCAGAATAAATTTCAAGTGTACAAACTTTAAAGAAAAAATACCACCAAACCCAACAAACTCAAATAGTTTTATACATACAGAATAAAATTATCAGTGCAATTTGGAAAGATGATGTAGAAATGCCAAAGTTATTCTTTCAACCTGAAGTATATCAAACATAAAATGAGAAGGGCTGTCAGAATGTACTTAACTTCAGAGGTACATTTGCTGCCCTTGCAATCTGAATCACTGGATTTTGCTTTGAGATGTCTTGGTAACTGCAGTCACTGAACATGGATATTAACAAGGAACTGAAAAAGGAGGTGGATAAATGTGTGTTTGAAGTTCAGTTATGGTCATTGTCCCCCACCATTTGCTGTTTGACACATGTAGTTCAGCTGAACAGTTTGATTGTCAGTCAATGTTAATTGCAATATTTCAAAATTCATTTCCACTCATTCTAAGTATCTGTGTATTCAAACTGCAGGTATTTTGAATAGCTGGAATCTTAAGCAGATGAAGTTTATTTAATTTAAGAATAGCTTTGCTCTTTACTTTTTACATGATCTTTCTAGGATAAAGTAATGTAATACCTTTAAGATTTAACAAATATAATTCTGCAATTGGATTTAGTAGCACTAAGTTGTAAAGCATTAGCTAAAAATATTTTTGGGTAGTATGAAACATTTAACCTAAATTTGAAGTATACTATAGCATGTGAAGAAAATCAAGCAAATGACCTTCCTCTGCCTAATATGTCAACATTTGTAACATGTAATCTGTATTTCATTGTAACAGTAGGCAGCTTGATTTCAGGTTGATTTTTTTTTTGTGTGTGTGTGTGCAAAACTACTTTTCTTTTTTTCTATTCTGCTCACACATATTCTGTTTTTATTTTTGGGTCTGGCAATGAAAAACAAACAAATAAATAATTAATCATTCCCATCCATTACTCTCTTTGTGATTCAAGTGCTTGAAATTTCTAAGAGTATGTCTTAAGTCTTCTTATCTGTTTGGCCTCATTTTGATATACTTGCAGACTTCATTTTGTTTTTTCTCTAATTATGTTCATTTATTTAACTTCATAAGCAGGGGACATGATCATTCCTTTATATTATGTATTGCATCCTTTCATGATTTCATAACCCTGCTGCTTTGAAGTCATACTTGTTCTGGAAAGAAGCATTGGTATGAAACACCAGCAGCAGGGAGGTCCTTGTACCTCTGAAATATCTGGAAAAGGGTGGCTTATTATGCAAAGCGTTAGCCTTCATTATTTTGTTTTCCAGTAGGCTGTGCATTTTTATAGGTTTATTTTAGTGATAGCTAGCTCTGTGTAGAGTTGTTTGGGCTGGTGGTTTAATTTTTTTTTTTCCTATTTATATATGCCTATTAACTGCATTTGTGATGTGCAATACTTTTTCTAAACAATCTGAATTTCTTTTTAAAGAGTAAAACAATATTTCTGGGGTCACTTTCATATAGTTACCAGTGGGGCATTATGAGAAAGGGTGATTATAAGAATGAAGAAAATTGATTCCTATAGCGATAAATAATGACCTAAGTAAATTAACAACTCATATTTCTCACTTGATAGACTAGGACCAGTAGAATAAAAGTTGTTACTAAATGTGTCTATTTCAATCTTTAAAATAGCATTATTGTTTCGCATATGTGGCATTGCTGTTTCACTCTGAAAGTATATGAACATGTTTACAAGCATTTTTTGCAGTAACTGAACTTAAAATTCTAATATGCAGAGTTTCAACAATGAAGTGCAACCTTCAATTACAAATGAAATTGAGAATGCAAAGCAGCTGTGGCAAAAATGTGGTATATTGGCTTGTTGTAATACCAACTGTATGCAATTCGTATTGTATTTCTGAAATTTCATTAATATGTCCGAAGAAGTTTCATTTTCACTTAAGTCATTTGCTCACTGTGACAGACAATTCATCATTCACTGCATGTTTAAAGCTTGCTACATATTTTGGGTTTTTCCCCAAGTGAAACAGTTTTTTCTTTGCACTTCACCAACTTACCCACTGAATTATTTGATTAAAAAGGGAGTTGAAACTTGCCGAATTCAGTGTTACAGTGATGGCTCTTAATCAGGTACCTCTATAAAACTCCTTAAAAGCACACTGGGCTGGAAGTACTTCTTGCAGTACCTTTGTGTTTGTAAATACAGTTCACTGACTGTAAAAGAAATGGTAAATAAATGGAAGGACTGCATACTAGTTCACTGTTTGACATGCTAAAAAGGAATGCTAAGGCATTTGGGTATAATAGCATTTGAAATAATGTGTTTGTTACCCAGTTTGGTAGTTTAAGTACTTTTCAGTCATTTTATCCATCAGACATTTTTTATGAACCGTTTGCTGTCTCTTAGAAATACTCTTATGACTGTATTGTGCTTGGTAGGGTTGACATGAATTGTGATAAATAGCATTCTGCTATGTATATTATGTATACATTGAATTACAAACCCACTTAATATAGAGAATTACAGAAGAAGAGAATGTAATAGTTTGAAAATCTCTGCTCCAGCATATGATAGTGAAACAAAATTTCGCTGGCAAAAAAGAGGTAATCTGAAATTCACAGTACTTTTGTTAGGGATCTTCTCTGATCCTGATCCAGAATGGTCCTCATGAAATGTGACTGTTGGAAGTCGTGACTGTATAGCGGGGTGGAAGGGCAATGGTCATGTAAATTGTGGTATTTTAAATAATTCTCAATTGTGTCTCCATTGTATCCTATGCCATTGGGGCGGGAGGCAGGGACTGTAAGTCTGTGTAAAGAGGATAGCTGCAGGTAGGTAAAAATAATGACCAGTTGTACTGAAACTTTTTTTTGTCCATTAAGAAATAATTAACTTTCATTAAATTAGGGTAAGGAATCTCCATCCTAGTCACCTAGAAGGCATGTCTCTTTTGAATTGCCAGTCATGCCTGTTTGTGTGGACCATGTCCATCACTTACGATATTTTTCTGGTTTTCCATTGTTTCAGTTACAAACTGTATAATTCATTGCTTTTGTTACTACTTTATTAGTATTTTCATCTTCTCTATGGAAAACAGTTTACATTGCCCCACTTTTAGTTTTGCTTAAATATTTTTTCTCCAGTTACTGAATATAGAATTTAAAGGATAAAACAAAATAAACAGAAAATGCATTTATTGTTTTATCTGATAAAACTTTACTGGTAGTTACCTCTTGATTTCAGATTTGTATTTCCAAGTTCACAAATACAAAAGGACAGCGTTGAGCAGTTTCATCTCTTCTGCACTCTTTTTTACTTAATAGCAAGAAATTGCAGTGTCTGATACTGCTCCTTCAAGATATTGCACATTCAGGGATGCAGATTTTGGATACTTGCATTTCTTAATACTACTAGCGCTAAGTCCAGCTTTTCCCTTTCATGAAGGTATTGCAATTGAAAAAACCTCTGAAGTGAATGACCTGATAGACTTGGTGTTAAGGGAAACCAAGGAAGAATGGGCTTTGAAATTACTCTTTGCACCCTTTTAGTTTTACTTAGTCTGTACTTCTGAGAACCAGGAATTTGGATTATGTCAGGGCCAAAGTGAGAGCAAATTATTTGGTTTCTTTAGAGGTTTCAGATTTCCCGAGCTTTCTCCTCTACCCCCACATGCCTTTCACAACTTTGGCATGTCTCTCATATGAGTGTTTGTCAGGGGAGATGTTGTAACAGATGACACATGGCTTTCTGGTCTCTGTTCCTGGTACTGGGAATCCTCATGTGACTAAAATGTAGGGATTTGTGATGCTTCAGCCCTTCCACATGATATAAAAGGGTTAGCTCAAAATTAGAAACTTTAATCGGTTTTATTTTGACTATGGGTTATGTTTTTGAAGGGAGGAGGGGAACAATAGGTAGAATTTTAAGTGGCAGTCTTATGTTAATTCGACCTTACATGTGTTTCTTATTAAAGAGTAGTAAAAGGGAGAAAATATTTTTTTGGACCGCCTTCAAAAAGTACTCATCTGAGGATTATATGTGGTGTCTGACTCCCTTTGTGCAGCAGTGGAGGTAGACACCACGGAAGTCAGGTGTACTCCTCAGTAATTATACCCTCTAATTGCAATAACTTCAGTGAAAAAGTTATAGTGGTCAGTTGAAAAGGTTGACTAATAGTCACCTACCAACACTATTTAATAATCAAATATGACACAAACTTTCCAGAAGTTCTTTTGTTTTGCTGTATTTTTTGCTCAGAATTATTTTATCTGCAAATGCACTGGTTTCTTCAGTCATCAACACTCTTATAATGAAAGACCTTCCATTTCTACAGGTTTAGTCTTTTGTTTAAAGAGTTCTTAGCGTGTTGCTTTGTTTCTTGTGGACCCCTCCTTTTTACTAGGCCTGCAAGATGCCACAATCTAAAACTTGCAGTAGTTCTGAAAATCACTTTGTGGTTTTTATTATTTGTTAATATTTTTAATCCTACTTTTAAAATATCAAAATAAAATGCTAAATTTTTTACATATTTGCAGAATTTGGAATATGATGTCTTTTTCTGCAAATAAGAGCTCTATTTTTAAAATCTTCCAGGCTTTTTTTTTTCCCCAGAACAAAAATGATTTTTACACTTTTGTGGCAAACCCAAAGTAAAATCACGCAGCTAATTCTAAGTACACATAGAGAATCTGAACTTTCAGGAGAAACTTTTCCATACTTAAAATGAGTAGTACCTTTTCTACACAGCATCAAATACTTAATTATTGGCCTTTTTTTAATAGTCCATAAAATAACAAGGTTTTGAAGAGGTGTTCTTCAGAAGCACTAGGGAAGGATCATGTTCTGTATGCCTTCAGAGCTCTGAGCTGTAAATCATCTTTGTTAGTATTTCATTAATATACCCAAAATAACTTGGCAGTTATTTTATCTAAAAGGCAGAACTGAATGGAAGCCACTAATGAACTTACTTCTGTATTGTAAAACTTGCATATTTATGCAGAAAGGCTCTGGCTTTAAATTAAAAGAGATTATGTACAGTAGAGGACTTTAAACATTGCAGTACTTGTTTTATATTAATTTGGCATAACCAGTTTATTATGTTAACGTTGCAGTGTGCCTGGGGACTGCAGATATGTTAGCATTTAATTAGATACTGTGGGACAACAGAATACTCCAGTTGGTCTATAGAAATTATCTCTCTGCATGCTCTTTGTCATCCACAAATGCAAGGTGTTTATCCTTTCCATTTTAGGCTAAGCCATCTTGAAATACCATACTTTATTTTTTTTTTCTTTTTCATTTGGATAAGTAGTATGGTTCAGCTTTGAGGTTACATATCCTGAACCTGTAACCAATGTTAGTCAACTGTGAACCATGTGAACTTTTAGAATAGGTAAGGGACAAAGGCAGCACATTGGACTTCAAATACCTCAAGATTGTCTGTTCTATGACCTACACATTACACACGCTTGGATAAGCCTCCTATTCCTCCCCACCATACTTCTCCATCAAGTTGACATTACATGTTTTACCATATAAAAAGGAATGTGTGAACTGTTTTCTCTTTCTGGTTTAGTATTTCCAAATAACCCATTTCATTCCAAACACAATTACCATCTGGTCTTTCTAATTGTGTAACCATGGAAATATTTGAGAAGTTAATTGTCTGTGTATATTGCTAGTGAATTTTCTTGTGACCAGCTTTGCCTGACTTGCATTTTTCCTCACTTTATACACAGGCTGGTTTAGCAGGAGCTCCAGCCCGGGCTGTTTCAGCTGTAAAGAATATGAATCTGCCAGAGATCCCAAGAAATATTAATATTGGTGACATCAGTATAAAAGTGCCAAACCTGCCCTCTTTTAAATAACATGGCTACTCCAGGTAAAACCAAGGAAGACATGTAATAGAGATTTACTGCATAATTGTTTACTAAATAAATAACAAGTCTAACTTTTACTATTTGGATAAAACTCAAGGTACTGTATAGACATAATCTGAAAAATCAGTGTGTGGATTTGAATGTTGCATTTGTCTTGTTTGTGAAATTAAAGGAAATGGGTAGTTCCTGTGTGATTTCTAAATTACATTCCTACGCCCTTGTAAGGCATGTCACTGTGTCTTGGCTGCTGCAGTATTTTGGGAGAGTATTGAAGATGTTCTTTACTTTGTATAACCTACAGTGCTGAGGTTTTTTGTATATTCACTAAGGTCTATAATTAGTGCATTCCTTAACTACTTCTGCTGTTTGTCATGATTATTTAAGACTTAAGTGCAAATGTTGCATGAAAACATTAAACTCTTGTTTTGGTTAAGTAAAATCATAATAAACTGGACTTCTAAATACCTGTTTGTCTGAAATATACCCTTTGCAATAAATCATGTTATTTCCTATTCATGGAGCAATTGACTATATACAAATACTGTTGTAGCAAGCGTTAATGTTGTAGTTTAATAGCTGAAGGAATTACACGGTGTTAGTGTGTTGAACATTTTGGCTCTTTACATTTCTCACAAAAGCTGTTCATTATTATTCTGAAGGAAAAACTGCCTTTACTGAAGATCTGATGACTTCTGTTTACATATAGATGTTGAAAAGATACTTACACAATCTGATAGACTTTCCCTGATGGTCTGACTTTGTTTTGGGAAAAAGGGTCTCTGCAGTTGCTGTGTCGTGAGAAGTACATAATGGGCTGAGGAAATTGGGCATCTCAGAACTGTAAATGTGAGTGTATCAAGTAATGTGATAGAGACGGGCACTCTGGAAAGATAAATAAGGATACTTCAGTAGGGCCTCTGTGCCTGGTGACATTGGTGATTCTCTACTTTGAGAATTAGATTCATGAGATACTTAGTATCACCAAGACCTCAGAATATCCAAGTGCTATCAGCTGTGTGTAAGTTGCTCAGCACTTAAACTCTTCTGTCATCTGAAAAAAATAAAGGGGGATAGTAACTTTTTTATAATCATGCTTTTAAGCTCTGTGTGATGTACAAGGCTGTTTAAATGAATAATAAAAATATAATTGGGATATTTAAGAATTCCTGTAAAGTTTTCTTCTCAAAAAAAGTATGCAGTTAATACTGTATATGAACATACAACAATATTGTATCAAGAACAACACATTTCTGGACTAGTCTGAGAGGTCCTGTGTTACTTCAGAAATTTCAATTTTATGTAAACCAAGCATTATTTTCCTCAGAGTTCAATGTTAAAACATACCCCATAGGATACACTTGGAATCACGTCACATTCTCTGTTTGATCTCTAGTAAATATCACTGGTGCGTTTTGAGAGTGAAAAAGAGAAATTACTTTTGAAGTAGAAAATCTGATACAATCCAAATAATTTTAATGTATTTCGGGGGAGTGGGGGGGGAACGGACTTAATGTATATTGTTCGTATTACATTTAATAAACATCAAGTAACACTATTTTATAAATGCTTTTGAAAATAGAATTGCTCTCTCCATACCATTTGAAAAGAATGTTTATTCTTCCAAATTAACTTTCTTAAGTTAAGTTTGAGGCTTAAGGACATTTCAGGTGGGGTTTAAGTAGAAAACTGGCACTTTCCCGTTTCCACTGAAGAAATTGAGCAAATGAAACGTGCAGTATTTTTTTTTTTTTTCCTACAAAGTAGAGTGTTCTTTAGTATTCCCAAATTAGACTGCTTAGCTAGTACAAGTCTGGAACTGTTGTAATTTCACCTGCTTTTGCCAACTTTTGTGTTTCTGCTTAATGCATAGACCATGTGACATTCAAAGTAAAGATGTTGAAAATTTTCCGCATTGTTCCCCCTGTGAGGATTTAGTTAGTGCTGCTGCTGAAGGATAAATACGAAATTTTAAAACATTTGGTACTTGGACCCACAGAGAGTTCTTCTGCCTATTTATGAAAGGAGTTCGCAATTTCAGAAATTCTGGGTTTTGTCCTATGGTTCATTTTCAGATTTGTATGCTTATGTAGTTTGAATGTTTTTCATTCCTCACAGAGAAACCTTTTCTGGGTTTATTGGAATCAAACATTTTTCTAAATCCTTAGTGAAAATATTGTCTGAGATGCATCTTGATATGAAGCATATATCAGATCAATTTCTCACTTCTTAACTGTCAATAGCCAAGCTTTCATTCATTTTAGTGAATTAGATCTTAGCTCTTAACAATTACATAACTATTTTAAAGCTTTTCTTTTTTAGCCTTGTATTTTGCATTACTGTTGTTTATATTGCCTTTCTCCTACCTGGCCACATGTTTCTGCTGGAAAGGATTCTTCTCTGGACAGCTGTTCCATAAACACCAGACTTCTGAAGAACCTTCTCTTTTTGTGACTGGCCAGCGAATATTTGATGCAAGGCTGTGAGTAACAACTGGAGCTTCCTTACTCAGAAGATCCTTGGATGGGAAGAAACTATCAGATTTTCACAGTAAAATTGCGCTCCTTTCAAAGATAAATTCTCTCTAGCACACAGAAGTGGTAATGTACAGAAAGCCTGAATGGTAATATTTTTTTCTTAAATAAAAACAGATGGTATGACAATGTGGGCTTCCTCCGGGTAGCTGAATCTGTTTCTTTGCCACCTCTTTGTCCAAGGAGTGTCTTTAGTTTTCCAGGGGAGATACTGTCCTCTTACCATGTCATTTGACACTGCCAGGCCTTAAAACTAAAACCAGTCACAGGAATATGGGATACTTGATTGATAGAAAACATGGAAATGGTATTCTTACTGTTAACTTCTTACTTCTTAAGGGCTTGCCTTGTGTTGCAGATATTCAGAGGTTTTCCACAATGCTGATCTTCTTGCATTCATCACCTTCATGAGAATGATGTGCCTTTTTAATTCTTTTTCCTATTTCACCAGTATCCTCTTAACTACTGCTTAGGATTTAAAATGGAAACAAGCTGTGGGCTTTAAATTATTATGTTCTTGTTTATAAATTTAAATGTTTTTAATGCTTTTGTAACCACAAAAAACCCACAACCCTTAATATGTGTACATATATCTCTGTGTGTGTGTGTGTATATATATAAAAAAATCAGTCTTTTGCACTAACTGTTGTTAAAAAGGAGAAGAGGTCATCCTTTAGCTGCAGAAGGCAGGCAACTAATTTGCAATACTCCATCTCCATAGGGCCTGCCTTTTAAGTGATGTTTATCAGGGTGCCAGCATGTGTAAATGAATCACTGAAAGCCATTGTTCCTAACTGGGCATTTCTTAGAACTGCAATTGAAAAACATTATTAAACAGACTATCTCCTACTTAGGGTATCTGAGACAACACCTCATGCATTGGTTTCCCACATGAGGTTTTCTTTCCTATTCAGTTCAGTTTCTTTGCTTATGAACTTATCTGGGGAGAAACCTTTTCATGTGATCATAGCAATTTAATAGTAAGTATTATCTGTACTACTTTTTGATAGTCCTTGAGAAATCATGCACAGAGATAATTTTAAGAGGACTGTGTAACATTAATAATGCAAATTAGTAATTAAGCCTTCAGGATGTCTCATCTGTTTTTCCTGCATTTCCCTA